GAATACTTTTCTTCCTTCGGGGGAGGCCTACATTTTGAACGTCATGACAGAAATGATGTGAAGTAAAAAAGGAAAAGTGAGTTATGGCCTGTCAGCTATGGCCTACACCATAAAGTTACATAGCCTCCACAATGCAAATTTTTGTCAAAACTCTCAATCATTCATGATGATTTTAAGCACATGCAGCTCAGATTGTAAAAGTAAACATAATTCTTCAAAAATACACATTCAACCAACCGGGACAAAACCAATTCCAGAATGCTGAGAATCATTCAGATAGAATGGCCCTATTTTCCTTACTACTGAACTGAATTGAAGGACTCCTGTTTCGGGAAAATTGAGGAGCAGGTTTCCTAGGTGTTGCTCTGCATTGAGAAGTCAGAAGGCAGCAGTCTGCAGCCTGTTTTAGAGTCCTAAAACTGTAAAGATTTTTCTGTGTTAAATTCATCAATGCATCTTATCTGCTACTTTCAGTTGATTATCCAGCGTCATTGTGCTTCTATGTAACAGTTTCAAAGAGAGAAATATGGGCAGGATTGTGGATATAGTCACCTGTATTTCTGAAAGGATGCACCCATGCAGTGCCATAACCATGAATGCACAATGCCTCACTGCTCCACTGACTTTAACATAGTTCTCCCAGGGATAATTATGCATTCTGTAACGGCCATGGGGTGGTTCCCAAACTGCAAATCCAAGCTGCAAAAGATTTGAAAATCCTTACAATCCCTGGAATCATTTGCCCAACAAGCCAAACTGTTGCATAAACCTATTATGGCAATTGCAACATACCAAAGTATCTTCTTGGCTTGTAGACTGCACCACTGATCGATAACAATTATAAAGTGGATCATCAGAAGCCTGGTACGTAAGAATTTTCGAGGGAATTCTCTCATATTCAACACACTTCAAGTATCCATTAACACAGCCTGGAAAAGACAAGATGGTGAACAAAGAAATGTAAGATTGATGCACCTATTGGTAGATTAAAGAACTTTCTGAAATAGAAAAAAATCAACCTTCCAAAGAAGTGGCAAGATCCTTAAAATTTTTCACCACTAAGTTATGCAGAGATTCGCCAGCCCAAATCGGATATATACATATATTTACAACAAAACAAACACCTGCCCCAACTGCAATGAGTACCAATCGAGTCACAATTGCCTCAGTATATGCCCTAGTCCTGTTACCGGCTACCATAAGGATGCAATATGTTAATACAAATACACGGAATCCATAATCATAAGGCTTCATGGTCGGATACAGCCTCAAATAGGATGCACAGAATCCTATCCACAGCAAAGAGACACAGTTAAAAATGGAGAAAATGAGTTTGTTTTGGCTTCAAGCTAAACAGCTTATTAACCTTCCCAATCACACTGACCTGCTATGAAAATACTTATAACAATAACACCTTCCTCGAACTTGCCAGCCACCAACGATAGCTCAGCAAAGCAAAATGCAAGTATTCCAGCACAGAGTGTTCCCAACCCGCGATTGAATCCTTTGATAAAGGTTGCACCTGCTTAAAAGAAAATAATGAACTTTTCCTGGGAATTCAGAAAAACTGACTTTGAAACAGAAAAGACAGCCAAAAATTAATCTAGGTAATGTTGAATTGATAAGTATGCTAATACCTATACTGAATTCAAACATCACTATGACTGTGAGTATTGCCCAAATTGAATACTGTGCAATATCCTCATATGATCCTTTCCAGAATATGAGCAAAGACACAATTGACAATGCCAGTCCCATTTTCATTGCAAATATGACTTTCCTGGGATCAGAACGACCCATTTCCAATGATTTCCTTGCAAAATCTATCAAATCATCCCAAGAGTTCTTGAGTTTTGCTCTCATAATTTTCAGATACGTCCATCTACTACCTGTACCTTCATCTCCCCTAGAGCTGACCAAAAGAGGCAGCCTTGCCTGACTGTTATCTGCCCAATCATGCTTCAGAGACCCCATTTTCATCACCGTTTTCTCCCCTTCTCTTCTTCACCGGACAACAAATCTGCATGTTCAATCCCAGACGTTTGCAAGAGAAAGATCAAACAAAGTCAAAACAATTAAAACAAGTTCTTGATGGATAATGCACCCAAATCATTAAACAAGCACCATAAACCAGTCAACTTAACCAAAAAAAATCGGCATTAAAGCTATCACAGCATATTGAAGTCTTGTTTCGGAGAAGAACATTACTTTGGAAGCCATTGATTTAGTAATTGACACAGTTTAGGAACAAGGAAAAGGACAACTTACAGAAGTACAATCGATCGGGACTAAATTTGTAGGGTTTGTACCAATGATGGAAGCTTCAGTTTCCTGCCTACAAAAACTTGCTATAGACTTGCATTTTCCTACCAAAATACAGCATCCATGTACCGATGATGAAGACCATGTCGATAGTAAAACCTCACACCAACAATCCTTTTCCCCTTTATCCAATTCTATGCCACATGCACTTCCAGCCAAGAATGGCACTTTCTTTACCAATTGCTAGCAACATTGCTCTTTTTCCTTTTTGATCTTGTTCTTTCCTGCTTGAGCTTTGAGCTTTCAGGATTCAAGCATGCTTTCGACATATACCATTCTCTGATTTGAATAAAACAGTGCTTTAACTATCCTATTTATACACCAGGATTATTTTATGTTGATTAAAATGTCACATGGAGGTTTAGCTAATCCTGTTACAAAAACACATGTGAAACCAAAAGGAATTTGGTTGCAATAGTGGCCAAGTTATATTTCTTTTCTATATGAGAGTCCAGATCCCAGTACGGAGGAACCATGTCATTTTTTCTTTCTTTTTCTTTTTCATGGCGGGGTCGTATAATTCCACAGATCTTCCATGACTGTGACTTTTCCATACGAAATTGCATTACCTTTTGGTCTATAGGATGAGTTACCAACGCACAGAGACATGGAGGATATTCTGTCATCATCATCATCTACAAGCGGACCAGGCTCATTGGAAATCTAGAATTTATCCCCACAATCATAAATTAGATGAGACAATGAGAGGGTCTACCATAATCTTCATGCTATACCTTATCTGTGGCTCTCAAGTTGCAGACAATTGTTCCCCTTAGTTATCCAGGTACCAACTGTTTCGATTGTGGAAAGTATCCATGTGCAATGTTGAATGTTCACTTGACCCCAATCATGTAAAGGCATGAAATCTTTGGTCATTCTTACATTTCCTGACCTTCCTCTGCTTTCTTTCCCCTTTTAATGAATTTAAGTGTCCATATTTTTTCGGTACATATGATTGATTACACAATAAAAATAATTCACTCATCACATCATAAATTTCAATCCTTTCTCGAAATAAATTGTGCAATTCATATTATACTTGTAATGAGATATTTTCATATATTTTATTCATAATTTTAAATTTTGATAAAAAATAATATTTTATTTTGTAGATAAGGACTTTGTCAAGTGGAATGATGTCCAAATGTACCAAGTTCCACTTTCAAAGAAAAGGAAAAAGAGCCCATAATTAGATAGCATCCACTTGAATCCCCAATTATCCCCCCACCAATAGGTCCAATACCATACCTTCTCTTTGGCTTAAGCACTTAAAAAACCTTTGTATTATGTCTATTTCATGCAATTAAATTTCTTTTCTTTTATTGTATCTAAAAATTTCAATATCATTTGATTTATAATTATACAAACCCTTAATTTTAACAAAAAAAAAATTAATAACTCATCAAAACTAATACTTATTGAAATATTTTATCCACATGGTCATGTAGCAACTACCGTAGTCAAATGGCAATTGACATGGTAACATCCCAATTGATATAAAATGGATTATATAGTTACGTTATTAAATCATATCATATATCACGGGAAAAGACATTGTAATGTTAATTTTTCATTAAAATTAAAGATTTATATGAGCATAAATGAAAAGACAAGAATGTGTTTAAGTTTAGTTTATGATTCAAAGAGTTTTTTTAAATGATTCAAGTCATTTTCTTGTTTCCTTTCTAATGAAGACAAATAATCTACAGATAAAATCCAGCAGGGTTAGGGCAGGAAGGTTCCTATCAAAAAGCTACCAATTACATTAGTCACTTTTTTGGGTTTATGGATGTCACCATTGCTTTATACATAACTAAGATGTGAACCAATAAATTGAAATCTCTTCACTTATTCAAAACAATATAAAGCCTTTAGATTCTTATAGTGATACAAAATAATTCCCTTAAATTATTAAAGTATGGGGCACGCACTCGAATTAAATATTCATTACATGGATGCATGGTATATAATTTATATCACATGCTAAAATAAGGAATATTACAATTACTTTTAGCAAAAACAGAAAAAAAAAAGGCAGTTAAACTTAAATCCATATAATTGTTTGGTTCATAATTACGAATTATGACTATTTTTAAATTAATTAAGCTTTAAAGAAAGATATATAAAAGTAATCTAAGGATAAGGGTGAGTAAAATTGAACCGGATCAATAATCCAACCAAATCGAATGCAATTTGAGTAAAATAATTCAGTCCAATTAATCCATTAGATCTATTAGTCCAAAAATTTGATCCAATTGATTTATTTGATCAATTCTTGATTTTAAAATTTTTAAACCAAACCAAGTAAAATATTAAATTAATTATATATATTATTTTTAAATTTATATAAAAAATATATTTTCATTATTAATTTTCGTTTCATGTCTTTTAAGTATAGATAAAGTTTATAAATTTTAATATTATAATTTATAAAAAAAATATAATTTTAACTTTTTAATCTAAAACTGAACCAATTCAATATGTAATTAATTTTTTAAAAATATTTAATCTATAAATACGACGGATCAAACCATATATTTAAGAGGTTAAGAATTTGCCCGGGTTAACCTGTTTTGGGGAGTTGAATGGACCTTGGGAAAAGCCCCAAGCCTGGGAAAAGGCCCCTAAACCTCCTCCTACGCAGAGAGCAAAGCCCCATAGCCACTGCCCCATATCCCTTATCCAATCCCAACTCTTTCTGATCAGTGGGAGAGAGACACGATGGAGCAACTTGAGACATAAACACACTCTTTCTCTCTCTGCGTCTTTCTTTCCGCTGTAGAAAATGTTATCCATGGCAACTCAATATAGTGTTAATAGTACTTTCACTTGGCATTCACTTCCCTATCAGAAACCCGCCTTGAAATCATTCAACACCGCCATTTTCTTTAAGACAATGGCCGGTTTGAGACAGTCATCGACCAGTCTGGCAAAAGGAATCGTACCCACTTCGAGAATTGAAAGACTAACTGCTTCAGCAGCCCCTGAGACACTTACAGCTGAGACATCCACAGAAACTGAAATACCATCTGTCACGACCTCTCGAGAAACTGAGGTTCAAATCCCCTGCTTTCTCTTACTACAGCTACCTGCTACACCTGCAGATGCTTTCTTGCGTTTATGTGTTTTGCTTGATTTAACGAGTTGTTGTCTATTTTGTAGAAGGTGGTAGTGAAGCAGGTGGAGAAGCCGAGGCTGGTTTTGAAATTCATATGGATGGAAAAGAACATCGGGCTTGGTCTTGATCAGGTGATACCCGGGCATGGCACTGTTCCTCTAAGTCCGTACTTCTTTTGGCCAAGGAAAGATGCATGGGAAGAGCTCAAGGCCACTCTAGAAAGTAAGCCATGGATATCTCAGAAGAAGATGATTATCCTTCTTAATCAGGCCACTGACATCATCAATCTATGGCAGCAAAGTGGTGGCAACCTCTCCTAGATGTGCAATGTAGGATATACCCTGGGTTTTCTTCTTCTTTTTGGCCTGCTTGTTATATTTCAGCTATTGGATTTTGATTTACAATTGAGATCTCGTTAAGCCTGCATTTGTTGCATTTCAATCAGCTCTGCAGAATGGCCTCATTGGGCAGCATTGGTCAGCCTCTTAATCTTGTATTTTAGCTAAACTTTCCTGTCACTTTTATTTTCTCAATTTGCTTTTGTCTCTGTTTGATTTTATTTTTCTTAATCAATATATGAGGAAGCTAATAATGGCTACATTACACCATTCCAACAATGAGACTTCTCTCCTTCTTTGAATTAACTACTTAACAAAGTGAAACAGATGCAAGGAAAGCTTCATCTCTTATCAGAACTTCATTCTCAATTACATATCTCTGTTCAAGAATTCTCACCATGGAAAAAAATTGGGACAGTTTTCATTTGCTCCCTTTTACAGAAAGGATAGCTACAAACTTCTCCTCTTCATACATCAACATTCATAAGGCTTTTCTAGACTCGGATCCGTCAGAAATCGCTGTAGTATATAGCATCAAACTATTTTTCCTCCTCCAGCTCCAAAAAGAGAAGATAGGCAACTAAGCCAACCACAGGGATAAATTTAAGGTAATTTACTAGAGGTACCCTGCTTCTCTGAACATTTTGTAGGTTCTCACCTATCAACCAAGGCTGGAAGATTATGTAAAAGCATATATCCCAAATGAAGGCATATGCCAGCCTTTCTGATCCCAAATAACTTATCAGGAACTGCCATCTATCTGTTATGCTCCCAAAATCACCATCCATTCGCCCAAAGAGAGCCCATATTGCAGATAACAGACATACAGCACCACCAATCAATCCCACCACGGGTGCACCATTTGTCATCACAGAGCCTAGCGGAGAGCGCTTGCTAGGAGGGCCGTCTGCATCAGCTTCATTCAGCCGGATTGCCATGTAAGGAATTAAGAATGCTGGCATCACATAATGGAGGAATTAAGCATTTGCTTCAAAAATAAACTATGATATTCTGTTGATGATCCTTTGTATGATCGCAAAATTGATGCAAAAGCATCAGTAAACATTTTAATTGCTAAACAAATGCGAAGTGATCGGATTTAACATAAACTTGAGAGTCTGGAAGGAAGCATACTGTTTGTGAGGAACATCTGCAGACCCCAAAGAACATCAAGGGAACCTTTGCATCTGTCTCTCTTACAATCCGTGTACAACAATGGAGCAAACATTAGCGTCCACCCAATAACAAAGTTGAACAATCCCTCAGACATCTGACATATATTAGATTGAATAAGCCTTCATGGGAAAGAACAAAACTTTCACTTCACCTAAATATGATGTGATGCTTACCGGGTGAAGAACTGGGGCATCAATCAGACGAATGCCAACTACTCTGCCAAAAAAGGTTCATTTGCTTGTATTGACCATCATATCAAGGAAAAAAAACAATAAAAAAAGATCTTTTTTTTGTCCAAATCCGAGTAGCAATGTAAACAAAATATTGCTTTGCAAAACCAAATACTATAGCAATCCCAGGAGCTGTCGAGTGTACCAGCATTCGTCAAAGGCAAGATGAAGAAGAAATTGAGAGAAAGGCCAATGAGAGCGTTAATTGTCTCTGAACTGATTGCCCATACGGGATCTCCCTGGTAAACTCCAAAAGAGAAAAAGAGAAATTGATCATCAGTCTTTTTGTTTGTAAGAAATGAAGAGAAGCTGAGAAAAGAAAAAGAAGTAGCCATGCATACAGGAGCATAAGGCAGCAAAAAGAGCCACGAGATGTAAACAGCCTCAGCGGTCCAGAGAGCCACCTGAAAGATTCGCCGCAAACTATCACCGTCGCATTCTTCCGAGGCTGGACTCACGGCAGTGGACTTGCGGGGAGACGCGCGGCATACGGTGGCCGTAGAATGGAGGGGCGTTGGGTTCATGGGGATAGAAAAGGAGACTGCAGGCCATGTTTTTCCGGGATGTTTGCAGTAATAGAGGTGGTGACGAGAGAGTGAAGAACGGTCAGAATCGAAAGGTCTAGGTCTGGGTCCTGGAAGAAACGCGCCATGGGTGTTGCACAGAAAAGCTTGAGTTGCTATCAAAGCCATGTCCTTCACCGATTCACTTCCTCTTCATCTCCTTGCTTAGCTGATGAAATTGGGGGTGAGTTTGTCATACGTGGTTCACTCATCATCCACACTGAACAGCCAATTTTCCGCCTTTGGTTTATTTTTTTTTTATTCAAGAATGTCATGCGGCGTCGTTTTGAATCCTACCACTACCTTATTTTGCCCAACGCTCCATTTCGAAGGAAAACAAATTTCTCAGAGGAAATCGACTTTCCCGCGCATTTGAATTGAAAATTCTCCGATCGATGGCTCCGAAATCCGATAGCACCGAAGGTACCACCGCCGACTCTCTCTCTCTTTTTCTCTCTCTCCGTCGAAGGCTTCTTTGCTGATTTCCGGCGCCGATTTTCAATTATAATTTCTCCCCTTATATTATCCTCCTTGACCAAAGCTTGCCTCTTACGTTTTCCTTTTTCTAATTTTAATATGCAGCAATCGTGCTCAACTACGTGAACGAGGTAAGCTTCTTCGTTTTCTTCTTTCGTTTGCAGATTTCTGTTCAAAATCTTGCGTTACTTGTTCTGGCTTCAGTTAGGTTTAAATTAAACTGATTGCTAGAGGAAACCGACTAAAGCTAAGATTTCTCTAATAAGATTGCATTAAGGTCATTGTTTTCGTGATTTTTTCATGCCTCACTCACCTCTTCTTTTCTTCTCCTTGTTTCATTTTCTTGGCAACCAAACGGAGAATTTTTCTGTTTTTTGATATTTAGGTCCTTCAGCTGTAGTAAACCTAACTTGGGTTTGTTATTTTTTTTTTTTTGGTTTTTCTAAACTAGCAAAATCGGCCTTTAAATTCTCAAAATGTGGCTGATTCTTTGCAAAAGTTTAACCTCAAAAAGGCATCCATTCAAAAAACACTGGATACACTTGCTGATAGCGGGAAGATTTCATTTAAAGAGTATGGTAAGCAGAAGATATACCTTGCCCGTCAAGCCCAGTTCAATATCCCCAACAATGAAGAGCTTGCTTCCATGAAGGAAGAGAATGCCAAACTGCAGGAACAGCTCGAACAACAAAAGAAAGCAATCACTGGGATTGAGGGAGGTAATAATCCTTGAACATCAGATTATTGTTTTTGCTGAAGGCGTAGCTGATACTCTTTCAACATGTCAGCACTGGTCTTAAGATTCTAATCCTTTTGGTTATGGGAATGTTCTTGAATTGAATTATGCAAACACGGATGTATACTGTTGTTGCAGAAATTAAAATTTTGCAGTCAAATTTAACACTGGAACAGATATATGGCAAGGAAGAAAAACTGAGGAAAGAGGTCAGGGTTATGGCTAAGTTATGGAAGCTTTTCGTTTCACTTTGTAAAGATTAGCTGCAGAAATGTTTTAACCCAAACAAGTGGGAAAATTTTTTACGTTATTTATTATGCATCAGGTCAAGGAAATGGAGGACAAATTAGTTAAATTACGTGGAGGAGTTACCCTGGTTAGGCCAGAGGAAAAAAGGGCAGTTGAAGCCATCTATTCAGAGAAAATGAGCCAGTGGAGAAGGCGTAGAAGGATGTTCAAGGATCTCTGGGATGCTATCACTGAGAACTCAACTAAGGATGTAAAGGAATTCAAGGTTCGAAAATGTCATTCTGTTGGCAAATACCCGCATCTGGCGTCATAAAGGTTCTCTCTGACACTGTTTAATGTTTGCAGGAGGAACTGGGAATTGAATATGATGAAGATGTTGGTGTGAATTTGCAATCATTCTCTGAGCTCCTTCAGCAGGGGAAGAAGCGGGCCAGAGGCCAATAACTTAAACTCGTTCATCAACTCAGACATGGATTTTGGCATTTCTCTGGAGATAAATCTGTTCCAGATATTTGTAGATTCTTCATCCTTGTTAGATCTAAATCTTTACTTCTGGATCCTACAGAGTGAATTTCACATCACATGAGCATTACATGCGAATGTTTTGTCGTGATATAAAATGGTGGATGATGCTTGTTTTTATAGAATTACCTTTGAATAATAGTACAAGCCAAAGCATTGTCCTTTGAGCTGCATATTAGATAACAGTTTGTAACCATAACCCTTGATTGAGCTACTTGTTTGCCTGTGGATGCATATGCATTTGCCTATGTAGATGAATGATGTTTTAAACTTACATTAAAGATAAATGAATTAATGTTTTCGCTAAGTAAATGGACAATTTTTATCACATTAGTTGAGGCTGCAAATTCATTCCCATTAAATGCACCTTTATTCCTTTGTGCCTTTGCCTGCTATATTCATTAAGCTTGTTCAAGTAGTGTTTGAATTCTGGTTCTAGGGAGTCCATGCCTTGAGGATAATCCATATTTTGATTGTAGGTAGCATTATCGTTAGGAACTTCACAAGTTTCTCCAAAATTTTCGCTTCACAAAAACTTTCAAAATCATTACAAAACAATTACATTGAGTTTACATCTTACAAAAATTAACAAAAACAAATCAAATAATAAAACCCAGCCTGTAGACTCAACCAATGCTATCATGCGGCTCAACCAATGCTATCATGCAACTCACCAAACTTACAAACATTTAATATACCCATGCTCTTCAGTACCCCCGCACTTGTTTACTCCTCACAGAAAAACCCTTGTTTATGGTAAAGTGTTGTTTACCTTTCATCTCAGAACTTTTGGCTGCATGTGCTGTGGGGTTCTCAGTTTCAGTCTCCACCTTCTGGCCAGCACGAAGGCTTGAAGGGATTTGCTTATTTGATGAGTACTGAAATGTCAGTCCAGTTTTTTCTGAGGGCTCATCATCCTTATCTGTATCTTGGACCTTGTCTTTTAGCTTCCTTGCATTCATATCAAAACTCAAACCATGGGAATCATAGGTTTCATCGTCACTCTCATGAATAACTACTTCCTTTTCCAATAGCTTGATTGGGTCCACTTCGTCTAAGGACATTGTCCTAAGGTCAAGGGTTCCTTCTGCAGAACCTTCACTTGAAGGACTTGAGATTTCTGGTGTCTTCTTGCTCTCATTCAACTCCTCTGCTTGACCACCAGGATGAGTTTGCTTATCTTTAGAATTAGATTCATGTCTGTCAGACACTCTTTTTCCTCGACTATTGGGACTGTTCTGATCATCAGGATCATGAGAATCAGACTGAGAGAGTTCCACAGCTGCTCTTGCAGCCGCTGCAGCATAAGCAGCTGACTCAAATGCTGCTTGAGCTGCATCAGCCACATCCCTGTACTTTTTCCTTGCGTTCATTGAATCAGAGAACCCATCATCATCTCCTCCAATGCTACCTGCCTTAGCTGATGTGTCTAGCTTGGGCTGGCTTTGCTTCTTGCTTCCATCCAAATTTTCCTGTATCAATAACACAATTGCCATGCCAGGAGTTTTCATTTCTATATTTTCAGCATATAACAAAAACTGATTTTTGTCAAACCCTGTTGATCCTCGATAGTAAATTGCATACCTCGCTGGAACGAGAGGTCTCCTCAAACTGTAAAGCAATGCCGTTCTCAGCAGCAATCTCTTTGAGCACATCCCTTCTACTCTGCAAGTCTGGTTGTCTGGTTGACAGCTTTTGTATAATCTGTATGACCCAAAAGATCATGTTATTACATACTGCAGAATTCAACTAAACGCAATTCACAAAGAATAGCTAGGAGATTTTTATTACTATGTTCATTTATGCACAAATATGCACATATCTCATATCCTTATTCTGTGAGAACCATTCATAACTCAAATTAATCATTTTAGCGTCTTCCGTCAGCAACAGAAGTGGTTCCCTCTACTTTTCTGGTTCATCCGACTAGCCTAGTACTTCACCAATACATACACTATGTCTTGCCACCGAGTGCAAAGATATCAGTGCTAAAACTTTGAAAAACAGGTTCATCTCAGGAATGTTAACATATCCGATAATCCAACTATAAGTTCCAATTTGGTATTAGTTACTGATACTATGAGGATATAAATTTTTCAGGTCTTATCAGAGGGGACTGTTAGAATTTTCTTTCTTGTGTTGGGGTGATGGGGGGTTGGTGGGAGATTGACTAAGCATACAACTTCTGTTCCTATCCAATTTGATAATCCGAATCAAGATTCTTTTACCTTAGTGTTCACTCCACAGTTGTTGCGCAACTCGATGGCACGAGCAGCGAATTCTTTGCCATAGCGAGACATGAAAACCCCACGAATCTCTTGAAGCTCGGGGAAATCCCCACACCTCGAAGATGCAAAGAGCAAGCCAGATATTGCCTCCTTAAGCTCGTCGGGGCATACTCTGCAACAAAAATACAATCCCAGGTTTATCAAGAGCTCTGACAGGAAAAAACAGGAAAAATGATCAAAGAAACTAACCTGTCTTGTTCAATTAGATGGACCCTTTCGACGACGAGATTACAATACCCTTCCAGCATAACAAACACGTCCAACATGTTTTGCTCCTTGATCACCTGCTCAACCTGTCCCAAAAAGAAACCCAGAGTTTAGCTCGAAACTAGAAAACAGAAAAAACAAAGAATGTCGATCATATCTTACTCGAAGAAGAGCCCGATCCTGTTGGCCAAGTTCAAGCATCTGCACGACATCAGAGCGAGCCTGGTTGCAACGGGACTGATGCTTGTTCTTGAAAACAGCAAGACGAGAAATGGCAAGGCTGATGAGTGACTTGAACTTGGAGGGTTTGAAGGCTCTTCCAAGCAGGGCATCAAGCTTCTTCCCCATGATAAGCCTGCTCCTTTTGTGACTGATAGATGAACAAACTGTTGAATCAGTCTCTCTCTCTCTCTCTCTGATACTTCTAACAGACAGAAGAGAACAAACAAGGCAAGGCTTGTTTCAACCTTTCTGTGCTGACGCGAGACAGACAGACAGACAGACAGCGTGGTCTTTATGGTATTGTTTACGTGTTTTGGTGAGATTTCTTACATGCTAAGTCTATTTGAAAGAAGAGCAGAGGGTGGGTAATTTGCCAGGAAAACCAAATGAGAAACCAAGATATACAAAAAGCAGAAACGCGGTTGGGCCGTCAATTTCCAGGAAGTGGGCGCCGGCTCTTTAGGCCCCATTTTTTGTTACAACAGATGCAGGCCAGGGACGTGACGAACAATCGGCATTGACCCCAAATGTTGCTACAGGTGCCATCAACATGCTCACAATAGCTGCCCCTCCTTTTGGGCCTTTTTCAAAGTACAAATATACAACCAAAGCGTGCGTGGCACAAGGGGCTGGGGAGCGTGGTGCGTCTATGGACCACAGGAAGTTTCTTAATGATTTCCCAGGGGGTATGAAGTAAGAAACGTAGAAAATAAAATGTGCTCCGTCCTGTCACAGTCTCACAAGCCACCGTCACCTTTATTTGCTTTGATCATCTAACACAAGTTCAGATGGCAGAAATACTGATTGATGCCTCCACCCCCATCCAGCTTTCTTTACATTATTATTATTATTATTAATCTAAAGCCCATGCCGAGTATAGCAGGGTTTCTTTATCCTTTTTAATTTTGGTGGTCTTTCAGTTAGAGAAAGAGAAACACCATAGACCATAGAATCGGCATCGTGTCAAGGGTGATTAATCTCCATTTACTTAAAGAATGAGTTTCATTTCATACAGCATCCTTAATTAAATTACATTATAACATTTTTAAACAAATTATTATAATGTAAAATCACATTCCAATCATATTACAGTCAAAAAAATAATTACAATACCAAACTAATACAATTGAATTACATTATACTTTATAGTATTATCCAAAGCATTTTTAGCTTTTAAATTTGTTATACATTTTGTAATGTTCTAATTTATTTTTTCATACATAGATTTTGAGAAATCTCTTTCTTACTCTCAATATCCCTTCTTTGTTGAGTTATTAATAGTGATTGTCAATAAATTTCTATTATCTTTTAAAAAAATTAAAAATAATATTATAATATAAAAAATTATAATAAAAATATAACATTATAAATATATTTACAAAATAATATTACATAAATATTAATAATAAAAAGATATAAATATATTAAATTTACATTTTAATAAATAAAAATAATTATAAAAATTAACATTACATTCTTAATAAAACACTTATAAATCAAACATTACAATATTATCTTTGATAATTTATATTTTATTTATATACCATATACTACAATATTATCTTTCATATGATTACATTATTTGTAATCACATTCCTTATAATTAAAATTACCATAGGTCATCTTAAAAGCACTTAAACCTAGCAATTAATGTCAGTTTTGAGCCTACTCCTAAGAAGCCATAAATCCAAAGGAACGATAAAAAAAAAGAGCTAGTTTTTAACAAAGCCTAGTAACGACATATCAAAATGTTAGACACAGCACGAAATTAAGTAAATTCCTATTTAAAATTACAGTTAATTATGTATTTAAACGAATTTATCTTTGACCCACATATGAATTATTTAACTCGAACAAATTTATCATGCTGTAATACTATCATCCATCCGTTTTCAATAGTCATATCGTATTCATGTTTATTTAATACAATACGATTACGTCATGATTGGACAGACAACTGCACAGCTAATGCAAATTAAAAGTAAGGTTTTAAGAAAATGACTTTTAAGCTTGATGTGCTAAACCAGAATTATGCATTGATTCACAATTGGGTTAAGGAAAAACAAACAAACAAACAATAAAATATGATTTCTGATGAACTCATACTAACAGTATGATTTACAACATCATTATTGCTTCCAAAATAATAAGATATTAATGATCTAGAATGTATACAAGTACAGAATTGTAAACTTACAAGCAACAACACAAAAGCCGTTTACCCATAATGACAGGATAATCAATTCAGTAACCTTTCCTCATAGGAGAGCCATGAATGGGAGGGTGGAGTGAATTTCAGCTCATTCAGGTTGGCATACATCACAACCTCACAGCAGCAAGAACTCCAACTAATATAAGCTAAGCTACCTCTCAAAGTTTAAACTAACCTAAAACCACCCTACACCCACCATGTATCCTGATTCCACACCCACCCCACCAAAAAAGGTTACACTAATAGTCAAATTATCCGCTGGACACCCAAAACATGTAATCGAACCAAGAGCAATCTAATGACACTTTTAACAGAGCAGTGCTCTTAAATTTCAAGTATCATTTCAACATATTAAACCATAAAGTAACACAAGATATGATGGACTCACTTGGATTCAACTTAAAAATAGTAAAAGACGCAAATCAATGTCATACGAATTATCATCATACAATTGGAAACAGGTAATCACGGTACTCACTGGTCAATCTAAACTATCAGGCTCCATACAGAACAGAAAGAAATAGTGTTTCCCAACCAGCCAACCCGGATCACCATTGTCTGATTAAAAACCAATCATAGATTTAGCTTCCATCTCACAAGTTTACAAGATCAACAAAGTACAGAAAAAAAATTTTTTTAAAAAAAAGGACAGAAACCACAGGTAAAACAAGATAAAAACAGGGAGAGAGAAAAACAAGAACAATAAAGAACAAGAAATCAAAGAGCGAAACAAGAAATGAAGGTTAGACTCCATTACAGTGACAAAAGATGAAAACAGCGACTTCCCCCTTCCATTGAAATAGGGAGGGCCTCATACAAAGCCAGCCTGTGTGCATTAACCAACCCATCATATCACAACCCTATATTCATACCTGATTGTATAGCAATCCTAGATAAGAATAATATATTGCAATACTGTTCCTTACAAGAAAATAAAGAGAATATGTAAATAAAATTTCCTTCACTTTTTTTTTGGCAACAGAAAAAAAAAAAGTCTATTTGTTTTAAAATGCTATTCAGCAATCAAATTAAACCTTAACTATTATTACCTTCCCTTGAGGTGCACCACAGTACCTCGGCAAGACATCTACATTCAAATCGAGAATTCTCTTGCTCTTAGGCTCTTAGGATTCTAAGTTGCTTTTCCAGAAGCTCAAAAAAATCCCCAGCAATACATTCAAGAAGATCACACACTTAAAAACTCATCAACAATACTCTAACTGACAACCTTTGAAATTAAAAAGGTCCCAAGCGGAAAAAGATTGAACAAATCATAGACTAAAATTAACAAGTACCAGAAACAAGATGATAAAATTGAAAGACACATTTCCTTGTTCATTTATGAACTAAAATTAAAATCAATAAACTAAAACCAGATCATCTATCCAAGCCTAATGAGTAAACAATAAGACCTTACAAGGAAAAAAGCTAAGTTGATGAGCCTCTTGTGACTTTGCAGCACTAATTTTATTGGTACACCACCTAAGTTTTACAGAAGGATTTTCAGCCATGAGTAATAAACTGGCTCAGCCTATTCAAGGAAATTCGAGGGCAAATAAGACAGGTACAAAGTTAAAATCTCAAGTTATGGAGAGATAAGTCTGGCTTTGAGAATTAATAAGACAGATTTTAAAGCATGAGTCACACCAAGTTTCCAGAACATTTAAGAAAGGAACACCACTGATGCATTCCTGAAAACGTGCAATATAGACAATGCTGAGATGATGATATTGAAAAATACTTACAAGGGGTGGGAGGCACAGGTTTTACACCCTAAAAACAAAATAACAAACCAAAATCACATTAACACATTTATGGTTTCAACAAGATACGATTGCAAATTAATTCAGAGGAACTAGGAACGGGATTACTCACTGAGATGGACTTTCCCTTCAAGCTGACTCCAAGACGACCAGTGCAAGTGCCCCAAGAATAATTGAACCATGGATCAGATGTAATGCAATTTCATTAGGACATGCATATCTCTAGGAAAAGTAAAATGAACTTAAACAAAAGAAACATAAAAAGCACTCAAATATAGGCTACCTAAATGAGCAGAACCCAACCACAACAGAAAAGTATCACCGAGGCACCATTAAAACATAAACAAGGTACAAAACAAAAAAATCGGGTGAAAGCAGACTATAGAAGAATAGAAGCAAGCATTCCTCATCATGCATTAAAACCCAATCATCCTTATACAAGCATGTCAATAGGTACACACTCAGAAGCTATCAAAATACATCTCTCTTGCAAATCACAACAAAAAAGAATCAAGATAATCAATTTTTAGGGTGTCAAAACAGCTCCTAATAAACAAACCAAGGTACCTTCTCCTGGGTGCCTTTTAAGCATTTAAGCACTGGAGGGTTGCCTCAAAGCAGTGGCAGATATCCTGAATGAAAAATCAAATTAGACTTCCCAGGGCCCAAACAATTCTGATTAAATAGAAAAAAAAAAAAAAACAACTGGCAACAAGAAAAGAAATGGGACCGGCAAGCATTACAAATAATTAATGCAAAGGCAACCAACAACCGTAAAAGATCAGTAAAACTAAAATAAAAGGCAAAAAGGAAAAAGGAAGAGTCACCTTGCCTAGTTTACAGAACAAATTTTGTTCCATAAACCCATAGTAAACTGAATATATATTTTTGTCATTATTTTCCAACAAGTACGGCAGGAGAAAATATAATAACAAATTTTCACAATGGCCATAATCAAGAATGATTACAAGAGAGAAAAACGCCTTTGGCTAGTTGTCTTACAATAGAAAAAGTACATTCCACTGAAAGAATCGCCAGTAAAGAGCACTCCTGACCAAACATCACCCTTTGACTTCAACCACGCCAGAAACTGTGTCCAAAGCTCTTAGTCCAGCACAGAGAAGATAAAGACAGACAATTCCCAAAGATTAGATATCTAAATATCAGTTAGGTCATAATGTACAAATATCTAGCGCAACACATTTCTGGAGTCATAAAATCAGCAACATGTTTCACTTGCCCGTGATGAATGGATGAGCCAATGCCTGTGTTACTGTCATTCTCTTCTCTGGATCCAACACGAAAATTTTTTCTAGGAGGTCTTTGAAGTTGGCTACCATCTTGGGATCCTCACCAGGAAAGCCAACAATAATTGAGTTCATATCTTTTGGCTTCATGTTAAGAATCATCCTCTTTATAGTCTGAAAGCAAGATTAGAATTTTGGTCAACACAACAGCAACCATGTCAATTTCTATCCAAGTTTCAAACATGTGACATTGATAAATGTTAAACATGTCAAAAAAAAAAAAAGAAAGAAAAGAACAACACCTTTTTAGTCACAGGATCCTCTTCTGTAGCATGAAAATTCAGATCTTGATCAAAGTGTTGTTCTGTAAATGCCCCCTGAAAAATAAAAAGAACAAAAACAAAATTAGAATAAAAAACTATCAGCACAAGCCAAGAAAGTTCTATAATACAAGTGAGGGTTAAATAGCAAATATTAAACCAAAAGAGCATAAAGGCAATGTACAATATATCTCTCAGAAAATAAATATCACTAACGCAAATTAGAAATGTACCTTACGCAGCATCTTCTTCGGAAAAGGACCTTTTAGCTCCATGTGAAGGCGTAGCATGTCATTGTTTGTAGGACCAGGGAAAAGAACCTTTCCAGTATAAAGCTCATACAAACAGCAACCAACAGACCATATATCCATTGGATGATCATAAGGCAAACCAAGAACTGCACCATGGAGAAATATGCATCAAAAACTATTACCATAGATATAATCACGTAAAGATTATCAAACAAAAGACAAAATCCTTCATCCACACTATAAACTATCAGCTTCATATTACAACTTACTTATTTCTGGGGCACGATAAAAGCGGCTTACAAGATATGGTGTAATTTCATTTTTACCAGCAAACATGGCATTACCAAAATCACAAAGCTTCAGCACATTTTTTGCCTCATTTACCTGAAAAGAAGAACAATAAGTTAAAGGGAGAAATCATTTCAAAAAATAAACTACAACAATGAATAAATAAAAAAGACATACCAGCATATTATCAGGCTTTATATCACAATGAAGAACACCACAGTTTTTGAGATGCTTAAGTGCAATAAAAAGTTGCTTAGCATATGCTCTGACAGCAGTTAGTTTAAGACCAATATTGCGACCAAACTTCTTGAGAACTTCGCGCAGGTTCATGTGAAGCGACTCAAAAACTAAACAGAGATGATTCCTGTACTTGAAACTTGAAAGAAAACAAACACAATGGCGCTTATTGTCTGGATCTGCACCTGCCAATTTTTTCAATATTTGAACCTCCAGCTGACCAGCCTTGTGCCTGCATCAAACCATTATTAATACAAGCAAGCAGTAAAATCAACAAAATCAGAGAACTTGATATAAAATAAAAAAATTTACAAACATAAGCATCAATGAGCAGGCAACTGATCACTCACATTGTTTCATTATTACGAATGATCTTTATAGCCACTTCTTCAGGATCACTAGTACCAGCCTTAAGATCCTTTGCACGTACAACAGTTGAAAAAACACCTTTGCCATGAGCAGCAGTCACTTCATATCGGCTGTCAAGTAGCTCACCAAACCGATAGCCTGGACAGGAAAACCACAGTTATATGAATACAGACATATATCTGAGAATTGGGTTTGAATATATACATGTGTAAATTTATATTACATCAATAAATCTAGAAACTTACTATAATATCCTTCTGCATCATCCCAATTGTCATGAAGACCACTCCTTATAACCGGCAAGCCATCACCTTTACCCTGCAAATACACCATTTACAGACATTCTCAGCCATGTCATCCTAGCTCTCAATTTACATATGCTAAGACAAAACAAGTGAACTTATTTTCCACTGGAAGCACCTTGTTAAGACTCGCTTACCCATCCAAAAAGTCAATTATGTTACAAAAGCTTCTCCAAAGCAAAAAATACAAGAAAAGCAAATGACAAACCGAATTTCAAACATGGTTAGACCAGCACACATAGTTATTTATCAGGCTTGCCTTTAGCGATCAACTTTATGCAAAAGATTAATTCCTTTCATACCCTAGTAGCATATCATCATCAGAATCATTATATAATGTCAAGAGAACTGATTCAAGGTTAACAAGAAACCGTGGAGTGGAAACCATGTTATTCAACTCAAAATTATATAGAGATACAACACATAAAAGCAAATAGCCAAACATGATTCATACCGATTTACGAACTCCAGTAGGTGTTTCCCCAAATATATCATCACAGAAAATATCATCTGATCTCTCACTCTGCACAAAAAATTAAATAAAAATTATACATCTCAATAACCTAGAAAACAAAGGCCAAACTACGGCACATCCAAATTAAGATATTAAAGAAAGAATGCAGGTTCAGGAAAAAAAAAAGTTGAGATGATATAAGATTCAAATGTAATAGAATAGAAAACCAACGCACCTTTGGGGTACCCTCACCAAGCCCAGCAGCACCAGATGTCCTCTCAGCGGCAGCATGCCCATTTTCTGGAGGTGACTTCCTAACTGACAGTGATGGGTCAGCAACAATGAGATCTTCATGTCCACCACCAAGAACATCTGGACCAGCGTTACCACCATCGGCTGTTTGCCCGCAGTTCTCTACAGGCTCATTATCTGGTTTAGATTACAAAATTATTAGGCTATTTAACAGCATCAAAAACAGGTAACACAGATATAAACATAGTATTAGCCTAGATCAAAGCTCAATTACAACTTACAATTAAGGCCAAAAAATTAAGTCAGCAAAATAAAATAAACAAATAACAAAAACCTTTATTCACATCCTCTAAATGAGACAGAGTCTGCTGCTGTAAATGCTGATTCTTATATTTCTCTAAAATGGCTTGTCTTCGCTTCCTACTTTCCTCTTTAATCCTACTGAGTTCATCCTCTTCTTGTTCAGCAAGTTTTAATGCAATCCTTTCTTCAAAATCATCTTGCTCCTCTTTATCTCTGCATCAATCAAAAATATACAAAATAGTAAGCTAATGAGAGAACAAAATAACATGAAAAACATCTTTTTCTGATAAGCAATACCTTTTTATTTTATCTGCATCTCCTGCCAATGGATCACTGTTAGAACCATAAACCTTTTCTGTTTCATTCTTCCTTATTCTGTCCCGGTAAGTTTCAGTTTCATCACGTTTCGGGTGCTTATAATTCTTATACCTATCTCGATCGCTATAGCCATCATTTTCAATCTCCATGTCCCTCCCTTTATCCCTACTCCTGTCACTTCTCCTCTCCCTCTCTCGCTCTTGGTTCCATTCTTCATTTTTTTCCTTGTTCCTATCTCTTTCTCTGTCATTAGCTTTACTACGATCCCTGCTCCAATCCCTTTCCTTCTTCCGGTTCCTATCTCTATCCGATTCCCTATCCCAGCTCCTATCAAGCACCTTCTCCCTTATCCTTCCACTCTCTAGATCCCTATCCCTGCTTTTCCCTCGCTCCTTCTCCCTTCTCCTTTCACCGTCCAGTTCTCTATCCCTACTCCTTTCTCGCTCCTTCTCCCTTCTCCTTTCACCACTCATGTCTCTATCTCTGCTCCTTGCTCGCTCTTTCTCCCTTCTCCTCTCACCATCAATATCTCTGTCCTTGTCCCGGTCCCTTCTCCATTCAATATCCATCTCCCTCTCTCTGCTTCTTTCACGCTCCTTCTCCCTTCTTCGTTCCCTGTCTATCTCCCTCTCCCTGCTCCTTTCACTACCCCGTGTCTCCATACTCTGATGCCTTTTTTCGCCTACATATCTGCCATAACTGACACTTCGTTCCCTATCATCACCCCTTAAAGGGTTTCTACTACCGTGTCGTCCATCCCGACTAGGATCTCGTTCATGGTGGCAGCTTCTTTTCAAAAGAGCCTCCTCATCTACAATGCTTTGGGAACGTGACCTTTCTCTAGCAAGATCATCTGACTCAGATCTACTCCTAGTATACTCATGATCTCTCAAATCAAAAGGTGAGCTAGCTGATTTCTTGTACTTTTCCCCAGAACTTTCAGAGGACAATGACTTTGTCATGTCACTTGGCTTCCTGTCATTGGCCTCTTCAACATCCTCATGGTAACTCTTTTTCTTGCCACTTCTTGAAGGCGACCTAGACTGCCCATGCCGCCTTCCATCCTCTACATTATATTTAGAAGGGAAATCCCCATTGATATGACTATCAGGGACAACTCTAGAGGCTAATTCTCCTTGAGACTCAACACTTAAATTTCTAGACAATCCAACCTGATTTTGATTCTTCTCACCACTGCTGTCACCACTCTGCCTTACTTGCTCATCCACAAAATTACTATTTTCACCAACTCCCTGCCGAAAAGGAAAATGCAAATAAAAATACTGAGTGCACAAGTTCACAATGTATCATTCTGAAAAGTTGAAAAAACAGTAATTACAAGCATATATATGCAGTAACTGTAACTAGCTCTTACAAATGAATAGTAAGCCACCAGTCTCCATTGAAACGCCTAGGGATACTTCTTTTTGCAATTCACACATGTTCTTTGTGCAGTAGTGCATATGCATGGGATATCACTCAGTAATCTAACAAGCTCTCACAAACCAAAGATTCATTATCCCAATTCCATAAAAAAAAAAAAAGTAAAATCCAATCACATGATAATTTCCAACAAAGATCCTCCTTCAGGCCACTGAGAAAAAAGGGTTCAATGAAAAAAGTCATATTTTTCAAACTTAGTCAGCAACAAAACTTTTTTCAAGCACTTCCCAACATTCAAATTTCAAAATTTGCTTGATAAAATTTAAATCAAGCAAGGGGAGAAACGATTTAAATTCTTTTCCAATAAACTAAAGACAAGCCCAAATTATTTTTCCCCATTTCCTCAGAACCAAACGACAATAGGTAATACAATAATATTAACCACGAAGAGAAAAGCCGTGACGAATTAAAACAAGCAAAGGGTAAACAAAACACACCGGATTGGGAACACCAAGGCCTTCACGATATTCAACGACCCTGATTTCAGCCGCCGGTTCCTCATCAAGAATCTCTCCTTCCTCGACGTCATCATCAGGTCGAGGAACCGAAGGGGGAAGAGGGAGGGGATCTTCGACACCATCTTTGCCCTCGTCTTCGTGCTTCTTGCTGCGGTGGCGGTGGTGACGGTGTTTGTGGTGGCGATGCTTGTGACGCTTCGAGGATTTATCAGTTTCCTCGTCGTCGGACGGAGAACGACGGTGCTTTCGGCGATGAGAATCTGGGGTGTCGCTAGCCATCGAAAACTAATTGGAAGAAAATCTAGGTTTAGGGTTAGGGTTTTTCAGCCTCTGATTTTTCTTTTATTTTTATTCAACTTCTTTTGGAGCGAAAGGAAAGGGAGTTTACTGGTGAAATTGGATTTGCTTTGGTTTTTGAGTTGCCTGATTTGGGGGGATCGCAACTCGCGCCGCGCGTGCCGGGTTAAAACGTGTCGGCGGCTCGGCTTTTCACTGGTGGATTAAAATTCCGGCAATCAAAATTTTCAGTTAGCGGGGAGATTTGCTTCCAACGAATTTGAGAAGGGCTTCCTTTTGTTTATATGAAGTGAGGCAGACCATATTCAGGGTTGGGTTTGAGGCAAGCCTAGGCCTGTAAGGTAACTAGGCTTGTTTCCTTATGGATATAGTCAATCGTTAACTGGGCATGAGGCCCAACCCAAGCTCATTTGGAACATGACAAGTCATGAATAGTAACAATATCAGCCCCGTTATCCTACTCATAGGTGAACATTCGATTACAAAATAATAAAAACTGAATTAATTATAGCATCTTAAAAAAAAAAAATAAAGATTGCTTTATTATAATAAAAAATTAAAATTGATTGAAATCGACTTCTCTTTATTTAATCCGACGGTTATTTTGGTTTGAATAGAAATACTTTTAAATATAATTTATTTAATACATATATTATTAATGATTAGTTTTTTTATCATTTCCATTGTAAATTTTAGATATTGAAAATTGATCGAAATAATTAAATAAATTACTACCCTTAACCGATTAATCGAATTCAATTAATTTCGATTTAAACCAATTAATACTTATCTTAATCCTATTAGCATTCCTATCTTTTGCCCGTAGGATACTGTTACGCTTTAACGAAGCGGAAGGCATTGCCATCAAAGAAAGTGTAGGTTTTCCCCTGGAAAAATGCAGAAAGAGAATCAAAATTATTGTCCAAAATTAGACTTTCCCACTTGCAATTCATGGGTTGTTAGAAAGAGAAACTGTTGTGAGAGCGCAATTTCAGCAATGGGCGATAGAGGGACATCATGAAAAGTTGGAAAAATGCATCATTCCCTGGATCTTTGCCTGCCTCCAAAACGAATCAATGATTAAGCACTATGACCCAAGGACAAAAGCAAGTTTGTTTAATCCACTCTGAGGGGATGAATAGAAGTATTGAAATCTGAGGCAATGCTTCACATTTTCTACGTTCGGAATCATCTGCTAAGAGTGTCCATTGTTCCTGACCAGTAACAAGAGTTTTGGGAGAAGATAGCTAGAATCCCAGTTTTTACTGAACATTATGGTAAAATTCTATCATAATCCTGCAGAACCCTTTTCTGTCAAAAGCTTTTCAAGGTATGATACGGACTGGCTTTCATTGTTCCTGACAAGTAACAACAGTTTTGGTAGCAGATAGCTAGAATCCTAGTTTTTACCGAACATTGAATTATGGTAGCAATCTATAATAATCCTGCAGAACCCTTTTCTGTTTTCATGGCTTTCATAACCTGACATAAAACTTGAAAGAATTGAGCACAATCACTGGGTGTTGACTATCAGCGTTTGGCCTGTTTGTTCTTCGCTGATCTCCTGGATTTCCAGTATCTCTACTCTACGGTTCATCTTCTTTCTTATCTTTATTGCCACATCTGAGGGTCTAAACCTCCCGCATACGCTTACCCTGCATTGCTGCTTCTCGATCACATGTGTCTCTACTTCTTCAATGTGAAATGAGAGAAAAGATTTTCAAGTTCATGAATGCAGAAAAACTGAAACTTGTGCAAATGGAGGGGACATTCTGAAATTTGTTAATGGAGAACTTACCTTTTATATTAAGAAGGATTCTTCTCATTTTCCTGTAACAGCCATGGCAGTCAATGTTAACTCTCATCACCATGCAACAGAGCTGCTACCATACAAAGAAAAAAACAGGAAGTGTCATTAGTGTTGAACTCTTCTGAAATTTAGTGAAAAGCGATCAGTGTTAGCTAAATATCTAGCTTTGAATAAGCAGGGAAATGAGAAGAAATGGCTCAGGAAGATGCAGTCTTAAACTTGCCCTTCCTGACATGAACTCGGGAACTGAAAACAATCGAAGATCAATGATTGGAATTGATTTTGATGGTATTTTGAAAAAGTTTTAGAAAAGGAAATGTGGAAATTAGAGAATTCCAGGGATCAAGGACCAAGAATATCTCTACTTTTGGCTCTATCATAGGAATTCCTTTGCTGCATTCTGGAATCTGATTCAGCCCTGACCAGCAGCAAAGCTGCAAACTTGGTTAATTAACCCATAACTTGAACACCAAGTTTTCTTTACTTCCTAACAGAAAATTAAGAGGGATCATCCTTTCTTGAAAATGCTGGGTTACCCTGCACAGGATTGTGAAGTATCCTTTTCTTATTCACAAAGATTTCTGTTTGCATTAAATTTTAAGCATCAGTTACCTTGGATTTTGGTTTTCCTGAAAGGCAAATATCTGAAATAGGTTTCTTCAATTAGGAAACATCAAGAACCTGGCTGATCAATTCAAACACATCCAACCATTCACTGTGTTTCTATATACATTGCCATTCAAGTGAGACATTTACCAAAACCAAGAACATAACTGCATGTATTATTCAATTTTTTTGTACAACAGTAGGTATATATACACAGAATTAAGGCTACAACAAACAGTCTTTATAAGAAAAATTCTGTAGCATGTTCAATGTTTCTTGATAGGTATTCACCTCCGGGAAGAGCGAAAAATCCTCTTGATCATGGCCATTGTGCTTACAGGATTCCTGTAAATAGCAGGAACCTGCCTTGAAGCTAAGTTAACAATACCAGGATATCTACAAGTGAGTGTTACCTTCTTCTCCAACACATTAACCAAAACAGAATCTGTGTCTGCCAATCCAAAAGAAGAGATACAAATTAATGAAATTTTCTAATTCTGGGTTAAGACCATGATCCTGACTAAATCTGATGCAACTAACTACGATGTAATATGTCATTATATAAACTTCACTGTCATACAAGTTGTTTTGTTTTTCTTTCTTTTCCTTTTGTTGGATTAACAGTGTCGAGAGCCGTCTTTAACTTACTAAAGACAAACAAAAAGGCATCAAGAATAATTTTAAAGGAACTTTTACAAAATCAACAGTTACCCTTCCCAATTTCCAGACATTTTCGACTCTTTCTGTTTCCTTAAAGAAAGTTCTACCAAGATGACTTCTTTGAAATTAGATACTCCATGCAGTACTTCACCATTGCTCAAACTCCCCTTGTCATCTAAAGTTCCTCGGAATCGCATTTTATGAAGCTGAAATATATCTAATTAACACAGTTAAGATACTGAAGAACACTTACCATTCATTCTTGACATTATGTCAGCTATTCTTCTTTGACACTCTGCACATCGGATATCTGCTGAGAGAACAACTTCGTGGACCTGTTCGTCAGCAAAGAAGCAAAGAAATACCAAAATCTCTTAGGAACTTCACTCAACAGGGAAAAAAAAAGAATACAGAGAGAGAGAGTACAAACAAGAGGCATCGATAAGGATCCAACAGAGGCAAGGCAAGTTCCAGGAAGCAACAAGCTCTTTGGCTTGTTGAGTTCAACTCTCGGGACCTCCTTCTTAGCCTGACCAGGAAAAACCATAGCTTCTCTATGCCTTATGTAAACACTGAAAAGGTCTTCATACAGAAGAAGAAGGTACCAGGGTTCAATCTCAAAACTGCAAGGAGGAACCGAAAAAGGGAGAATGGAAAAGGATCTAAGAACACACCACCTCCTGCCTCCTGTTGTAGCTGCTGAACTACTGATGGAGCAACCCCATCTCCTTGAGATGCTTCAGTTTGGAGGGTGAAGAAAGAGCATCTCAAACTGGTAACAGGAAAGTGGAAAGGGTCTTTCTTATGCTTAGTTGAAAAAGATGCTTCAAGGTGACCCACACCTTGCTTTTTCCTGTAATTTTTTCTCATCCATAATAATTCTTTAAAGAGGTTGCTTATTGCACCAAACTCATATCCCATGTCCAACTTTTAGTTCATTTAATCCATCATGTCATAGTTAGATTAGGTACGAACCCCCACAAAGAAACCACTAGTGAGATTTGCTTTAGAATAAGACAGACACCCTTCAGAATTTCAAGAGGATCTTCCCTAAATTGCCCCAACTCCTCTGTACACTTAAAAGTGATTGTTTATTTAGCCCAATTAAAAGAAGAAAAATGGCTGGTTCTTTGTTTCCAATTGAAATAAATTCCCAATTTTATAGAAAAAAAAAGAACTCCTTTTATTAAAGCGTAATCTTTTAGTTTCTAATCAACAGATAGAATGGCCCAACAATGGAAAGTGATAATGACAAGGATTAAACTCCTTAATATTGACATTTACACGACAACTACTAGACCTGCGATGGTCTTTCCTAAACGATGTCGTTTTTTAGAAGGTGGGAACCACTGCCATTATTCGGCCTATGGACCGATGCTCTCTGTCCGAAACATATGGTCAGAAACAAAGTTTGAACAATCCTGGAATTGGCAGCTAAGACTAAACAAAATTCCAACCAACCAGAGTTGCTGCACAGGGGAACCAAAGTTCACAAAACAAAACACTAAATGTTGTCGACTGTCGAGAATCCATGAAATGCTGTTCGCAAGTTACAATTTGAGACCATTTAACCCAAAGAGCTTGCAGTTGAAACATGCAACAGAAACAAAGTGTAAATTTTTATTACCAGAAATGATATACAGATTACATGAACGCAGGAATCCTCCTGCAAACATCCTAAACAAATCAGGCTGAGTAGGTTAGAGATCTACGAGGTTATTTGTGCTGCATCCAAAATTGTGGCCTGAAATCTGTACTCTAAGTTAGAGCGCCGAAGGGTTAAGTTACATACAAGTACATAAAGGAGGAGATGGATACCATGGACCTCTCAAATGAACATTTCCTACACATCATTGCATGCAGTAGGAGCACTCTATGAAGGAAAAGCAAAATCAAACTAAAAAACTGAGGACAACACCTCCAAATCTCCAATGAGAGAAGTCAATCACCTAGTCATAACCAAGCTTGTTAGGGGCGGCACTACTGAAGAACTGAATAACGGATCACCCCTGTACTTGCAGTTATCATTATCAAGTTTTAAGGATGCAGGGATCAAAAATCTTTCGCAAGTAACAGACCGTGTAACTTCTGCAGTGCTTTTGATAAGTTTATGACCGCAATTCTGCTTCTGTATAGAGGTCCCAGTCCCACGTCTTCTCTTCCTAGATGACTTCCACTTCAACTGGGAAAGCAGATCATCCTTCGAAAGATCTGGAACAAGACCCACATCTTTTGCCCTGCCATTTCCAGGTTCAACAGGAGAATCATTACAACCAGTGGTGGCACCCTTAGCAAACTGTCCACCATCACCAACGGTGGTTTTGACCAAATTGCAATCATAGGATTTGCCTGCATCTTGCTTTCTAACCCCCAGTATGGAACTCGCAAGATCATGCCTCTCCTTTATATTTATCCACTGGTTTCCCAGCCATTCATGAGAATGTCTTACATCACCACTGTCAAAGACTGATTCCCGCTTTTCTCCTGCAAATAATGCAATAAATCAGAGCCGGAAAAAAAAAACTAAAAAACAATACAATATACTTGACAGTTCGTGACCATGAAAACCATCAGACATTTACATTCAGATTTGAAGTATTATACAAACCTGGGAAATAAACATGAAGTTTATCTTCTGAATCCTTCTTAAAGACAATGCCTTCCCACCACCCACCATGCCACCAGACATCAACAACAGACCCAACACCAATACATGAAGCACTGCCTTTAGGGTTTTGTGGAGATGGACGCATAGTTGTTCTTCCACAAAAGCGGATACCCATTTGATCAGGAACAGCAACCCTAGATGCCAAAATCCATTCCTACAACATAAAACCACGAACCATTTAGCAACTTCAGAAGAAAGGGTCAATAATATGAGTTTCATTATTACTACATCCTGTTAAGTTTGTAAATTAAAAACAATAAAAATATATACCTCTAATTTATTAGCTTCATCAGCCGCATCCTGAATGTCTTGATATTGCACCTTCACCTTATCTTTGTGCTTCTTGATTATCAGAGCTCTAAACCAACACCCTCTAATACCACTATCTTGAGCTAGTATTTCAACCTGGGAACCTACTTTTAAATGCTGAGAAGAATTTTGCTTAGTCCCATCAGTGGACAATAATGCAGAACTCCCTCCACTTAAACTGAATGATTCAATTCCATTTTTGCCATTCCCGATATTTAGCACATCTGCACATGATGCATCCATTGACTCTCTGCTGCCACTGAAATGCAAGTGCACATCATCATCTTTTGACTGACGATATTTCTTTCTAGGCCTGATCCCAACACCATCATCGACATTCCAATCTGCTTTCTGGTCATCAGCACGTTGCTGATGACTCACGCAATCATTCGAGAGAGAATGACCATACATATATCTAAGTATATCTTGTTTCCAATAACCCTTAACTTGAGTCAAATCAAAAGGCTTGACATCATCATTTTCGAACTGCTTGCAGCATACAAATGGCTTGAGCTGAGTATGCATTGCCTCGTTCAAATATTTCCTGAAATGCTCAGGACTAAGGACAGTAGCCAATCCATCTATGCATTCAATACTGAGATCTTGAAGACAAAGAGAAGAGAAAATCTCTCTGGAATTATAATTGTGAGGCAAAACAATACCAACCTCATCAATTTTGTGAAACCATCGTACCACAACCATCTTGTTGCCTTTAGAGTCCTCATACATATCTTCCAAGTACGCAACAAGTCGTTTATCCTCCTCAGCTAAGACATAGACAAAGTCATGAATCTGTGAAAATTTTAGGAGAATGGGACGGAATAGGCAAAAATTGAGTTAGATAGCGAAGCCATAGAATGCACAAAACCTTAAATGACAAAGCACAAAAAAAAAAGGATTAATAAAGACAATTACACTCACCGAAATTATTACACCATTCCTACGGAACGACTGATAATGTTTTCTTTTTTTCCTGCATGTCCATGAAAAACCTAACCAAAAAGTTTCTTTAGTATATTGGCCCAGCTTCCGTGATCGAAAATCCTGTAGGAGGGAAAATTCTAATATTATCACATGAATTTTACAAAGGCCGGAAGAAATCCACAAACTCGCAAAAGCATCCATACCTTGAGGGCTCCAAAATCCAAATAGTTCACATCTTTGCCATAACGAAAGCCATCAACTGAAGAGTATGGCTCATGAGAAGATAAATCTGTAAATTTTAAACAGCAATTAGCAAAAACAAAGGTGTATATTCCACGCCATGAGATTACTCACAAAAGAAGAAAACCGCGGAAAGACCTGACGACAAAAGACACTGATACTCCAGAGAGGACCCAAGCAAAAACCAGATGCACACAATAATAACAGGTAATATATGTCTTAACAAGGTTTTTTTTTTAGCATTCAAAACGAATTAACAGCTGATTTTGTGGAGATGAAACTTCGTTTATTGAAAGATGTTGACCTAGATATTTGAGGGCGGTGACGCTTTCAATCAGCTCTTAAAAATTGAATTAGCATTCCTGCAGCCCAGATCATAGTCAGTTAACATTTACCACGGTCAAGGGTTGAACCAAATGGAACAACCCACGCCAATGACAGAAATACACGACCCCAGCCAAAACGAAACCCCCCAAAAAACCAAAAAGAAAAAAAAAAAGGAGTGGGAGGAAGAGAAGGAACGCCCCAGCTTACTTGAGAACAAGAAAACAAAAAAATCTTCAGTTTAAAGGTTAAAATAAGCAATCAAGATAAAGGGAAATTATTTTTAAAAAGAAGAAATTTTACACATCTTCCAATCGGTAACTATAAAGAAAGAAAAAAACCCAATAAAATATCTCAGGCCGGCTGACACCTTCGTTTCTTCAGGCGAAAAGAACCAGCAAACTTGCAAAGAAAATAATATATAAAATTTTTTAAAAAAAAATCCAGGGAAAAGGACACAAAAAGCTTGATAATATTCATCTACCTGTATACCCACTTATAATTTAAAGAAATATCGAAATTTGAAACTGAATTAAAGCGGAGGAGTTCAAAAATCCAATAGAGAAAAACTGCTTGTTTAAAAGAGTAAGAGAAAGCCCTAATAAAATCAAATCCCACCACAATCCTATCAATAATCACCGGAAACGCTCAGATCTAGCAAAAACCCTAAAAAATTGAGCTAGCCGCAACCTCTAAAAAACCCCTAAATCTCCAAAACCTCAAAATCCGATACCGCAAGAGAGAAAACGAACAGATAACAATAACAACAGTAACAGCAATTACCTGAAACGACAGAATTAAGCCAATCGACGACCTCCCTCCGAGACTTGAGCTTGTAAAAAGGCGTCGAAGAGAAGAAAAGGGAACGATTCTTAATAGCGAAATGATAAGACATATGCCTCACGCTTTTCTCTTTCCCAACCACAGCCAGATCCGAAACCCCATCCCTTTTCTTCAAATAATAATGAACCTCCCTCATTCCTTTATCGCTCGAAACATTCACCTCCTCCCAGCTTACATACGCCGCCGTGCTCGACGACGGCGACGCCACCGCCACTCTCTCCATCTCTAATTCCAAGAAAGAAAAAGTTTCGAGAGGAAGATGAGAATTTTCAGACAAAGGTGTTTCAAATTCGTGCGAAAAAATAAAAATAAAAAATTTGCGTGCGCGATGAGAGGGAATTTGAAAATTTATATGCGGGAGGGTTTTGCGAGATTGGGAATCAACGGTGAGGATTACACATAAGAGGATGGCTCGGGAGGGAAATCAATAGGAAATTTCGGGGGAATTGCCCGAAGAGTGGGGAAATTTTGGATTCCTAAAATACCCTTGTACGGCTTTGGATTTTCTTCCCCTTTGTTGTTTATTTTATTCGTCACATGTCGTTTTGGGGAGAACAGGACAAAACACAAGTTGAGGGAAAGAAAGAGAAGTGGAGCCCGCAATTAGCGGTCTAGGAAAAGGTAGACGCGCCCAGTTTGATCACCAGCTGTCGGATTTGATGTATTTTCTATTTCTATTAATTTTTCATATATAATTCAGTAAAAAAAAATCCACATTTTTACCTCAAATTTTTTTTAAGGATAAGATAAGTCAAAAATTATAATATTAGCACATTTCCTAATTTTTAGAACAAATTTTGAAAACAGAAAAAACAAATCAAGGATTGAATTGAAAAAATTGAAAATTGAATCAAGGATTTGACTCTTCTTCATTATTATTTGTTTTCTTAAATAAGTAAATAGTCTTTCTATCATCCTACAATCCCATTATTTCATTACCAAAATTTAAATTTTAAAGCTTTTAAAGATAAATTTCAAATTTTAATTGTTAAGATATTCATATTAATACCCTTTTTAATGTGCTTATCATCATCTATTATCATTTAGGATCGAGGCATTAATTTTTTATGAATTATAAATCTATATATATGAATAGTGATAATGGACATATTGAAATAAAAATATTAAGTGCATTTGTGTTATACAAAGTATAGTTCAAATAGAGATGAAGTTAAATGCTTTCAAAGTTCGATTTTGTTTTTTTATTAAAAAAATAAATTTTTTCAATTTTAAAATTTTTAAAATCCACTTCACAAAACTGATCATTTATATATTCTATTTAAAGAAAAACATTTCATCTATAATTCTTTTTATTACTATCTTATACTTTTTCAATTATGGTAAAAATTTATGTAGAGATCCATCACACAAACATGACATGTGTTTAGTTTTTCACTAAAAAAATTATTTTATTAAATTAAATTAATAAAATAAAATATTATTCGACCATAACAATTATTTTATTTATCCCACGCAAAAAAATATTAAACAAAATAAATGTTGAATAAAAAATGTAAATATATCATTAAAAAAAGTTTTATAATCTTTTAATTCCCTTTATTTTTTATATATACTCTTTAATTCCCTTTTGTATTTACCATATAATCTATATTTTTGAAGGCATTAGTGAGACGCACGTTTGAACTACGCCTACATGCAAGGCATGCTTGCAACTAATATGGCGTTTTGTACAAAATAATATTATTGCTTCTTTTTTTTTTAAGAAAAATTGGAAGATTCACTTGTATTTACATTATTGTATAAAAAATTTATTGAATTTAGTGTCTCAATTGATCAATTCATTTAAAAATTATTTTATATTGTAATAATAAATATAAAAATAAGGTTATTGAAAACAAAAATGGATATAGATGAATTCGACAGTAAAATTTTAAAAAATGAATTAATTGAAATATACTCTAAAATTAAAATAATTAAAATCAACTTAAATTCGATCTGTTCAATCAATTTTAATATTTTTTAATTTTAGTATATACTAGTAACATCTATATAATATATATTATGTGTAAAAAAACTGGAAAAATATTTATTAATAATGATTAGTGTTTGATCAATTTAATTATAAATTTTAGATATTAAAATCATCTAATAAATAGACTCAAATTATAAATTAAAATCACAAATAAAAAATTTATTCGGTCGGATCCGAATTAATATTCACCGTTAAAGTGAAAACGGCAGCATTAATCGTTGATAACCGTTTCTTACCGTAACGTTATCGAGGCCCATTTGATAATTAAAGGTCAAAAAAAAAAAAAAAGGTAAAAATAGAGGGGGACAAGTCCCATCACGGCGTCCTGCTGAATTCTTTTCTTTCTTTTGTTCCCTTCCTTTAGCAGCCACAATGGAATACGGACAGAGAAACAAAATTTAATACGGCAGATGGTACTCTCCATCGCGCGATTCCATCTGACGCGGCAAATCAGTGGTTGCGGCGCAGCATCAGCATCGTCATGCTTGGTTTTCAATAGCAATCTAAACAATGCCCACCGGATCAAGGCAAAGGAGGTGACGTGGTCTATCCGGCATGGCGCCAAAATGACAGCTAAGCCGGCCCACGTTTGTGGGACTTATCTTATTTTCTCATGGCGGGAGGTTTGAAAACAAATTCTGACCGGTCGCCTTTGTTCAAAAGGAAGGGTTGTTCCACAGGCATTTGCCGGTAAACAGAGACGTAATGCTCCTCATCCAATTTTAACGGGCCAGAACTCGTCAAATTGGATCCACTTGTTTTACGGCCCAAGGAATCGATCTACAGATCAAAAATTGGGGTTGAGCAACAGAAGTTCAAAGCCCAAGGCTCCAATGGTTGCCCGTGCAATTGAGATTGGTAAGAAGAAGTGGGCTAGGTTTTGCTTGATTTGGACTGAAAGTGGTTAGCCCAACCACCTATCTCCTCTTCCTCTTTTTTAAAAATATTTAATACATTGAATATATTACCATAAGTCAAATGTTATCACCTCATCAATACATAAATCATTGATAATGTATAACTCCTAATCATATAGGTCTATTGAATTAAAAATATAAATTCATGATAAATAAAATCAAAATTATTCAAATTTACGCTAACATTGATATCGTATAAGAGATATTAAAATTGAAGTAAACTCGGATCAAAGTAGATCTCTCTCTTCATGAGTTATTTCTTTTAAAACATGTCTTTTTTATTAAAAATGTGATATGTCTTTGACACTTTCCTACTTAAATTAGAAGCATCAACGGGTGATTTGCCAAAGTCCATGGCTTATTTTAATCCTTTAAGAAAATTATCTTATTATACAATATTTATAAGATAAAAGAATATCTTGCAAAAACCTAGATTCCTTCATTGTCCTTCTTATAATCATCTTAAAATATGCTATGAACCATTGAGTTGAAAATCTTAGACAATCCTAATTAGAGATTCAAAAGATGTATTTTTTTGCTCTAACCTTCATAATATAGAAAAAGCCCAAGTTTTATAACATAAAGATTAACTCCACTTATGGAACTATTTATTAATTAATGATATTAAATCAACAATAATCGCCTCTTGAATAATAATTTATATTCTTAAACTCAACTTCTTGTGTTCATATTTTTTTATATATTTTTAAATTAATTTTTAAATAGAAGAAATTATACATCAATCGCTATATCAAATGTATGTGGAATTCTAATTTTCAACACTTTTTAATTTTCAAAGGTAAAAGCAAATTTCAAATTAAGCATAAAAAAAAGGCAAAAGTAATTTAGATCCAAATATATTGGAAAAAGAAGGGGTCCAATTGAAAACAAGAAAAAAGTTATTGGCCTATAGTGTGAAGTTGAAAAAACCAAAATCCAGTTAACGAACTCTAGTAATGGGCGATGGAAACACAGGTGGGTAGTTCATAGCTTCCAACCAACTTCTCCTCGTCTTCTCCGCCGCTCTCTCTCTTCTCTCTGTTATTTTCCCTCCATTCATTTCCGTCATCAATCATTTCCTTCCTCTCTGTTTCTCTCCGAATCATCTCCAGAGACAAAGAAACAAGAGAACAATGGCTTCTGCTTTCCTCTCCAACACCACCATCTCTTTCTCTTCTTCCCTCTCTTCCTCCCCTCTTCCTCGTCTTCTCCCTTCCATTTCTTCCTCCCCGATTCGTTTTAAATCAAACCCAAGACGAATCCTGACCGTCCGATCCAAGATCAGGGAGATTTTTATGCCCGCACTTAGTTCCACAATGACTGAGGGCAAGATCGTCTCATGGGTTAAATCCGAAGGCGATAAGCTCTCCAAGGGCGAAAGCGTCGTCGTTGTCGAATCCGACAAGGCCGACATGGATGTCGAGACTTTCTATGACGGCATTCTCGCTGCTATCGTTGTTGGGGAAGGCGAAACTGCCCCTGTTGGCGCCGCCATTGGTATCCTTGCTGAGACTGAAGATGAAATTGCCGAGGCTAAAGCCAAAGCTGCCTCGAAATCAGGTGCTTCAACCCCATCTGCTCCTCCTCCTTCTCCAGCTCCGGCTGCTACTTCAACTCCAGCTCCCCCGAAGCCAGCGCCGGCTCCCGCGCCTGCGCCAGTTGCGGAGGGACCGAGGAAGACCGTTGCGACACCACACGCAAAGAAGTTAGCGAAGCAGCACAAGGTGGATATTGAATCCGCGGTGGGAACAGGGCCGTATGGTAGGATTACCTCTGCCGATATCGAGGCAGCCGCCGGGATCGTGCCTTCGAAGACAAATGTGGGACCTGCAGTGGTCGTTGAAACTACGCCTGCTGCTCCACCGAAAGCTACAGCTGCTGCTGCCGCCCCATCTAGCTTGCCTCCTCCAGTTCCGGGGTCTACGGTAGTGCCATTTACGACAATGCAGGCTGCCGTTTCGAAGAACATGGTGGAGAGTCTTTCAGTGCCCACATTTCGAGTGGGGTATCCGGTGACTACAGATGCGCTTGATGCCTTGTATGAGAAGGTATATTGAGTTGGATTCTTTGATTTATCGAATTGGATTATTTTTGTTTTGGGACGGCAAATTCGTTTTAATGCATTGGTGTGTCTCTTTTTTTTTTTTTTACTTATAGGTGAAGCCTAAGGGTGTGACAATGACTGCTCTGTTAGCGAAAGCTGCTGCAATGGCACTTGCGCAGCACCCTGTTGTGAATGCAAGTTGCAAAGATGGCAAGAGTTTTACTTACAATAGTAACATCAACATAGCAGTAGCTGTGGCTATCAATGGTGGCTTGATTACCCCTGTTCTTCAGGATGCAGATAAGGTTAGTGATTATATGTATTGATCTTTAATTATTGGAATCAAGTATATAAATTGCTTGTTTTAAATGATTATGTGGTTGGTTTTTCTATTGGTTTCTTATAGATTCTAATATCTTGACTGACTGGAATTGTTTCGGCTCAGTTGGATTTGTATCTATTGTCTCAAAAATGGAAAGAGCTGGTGGAAAAAGCCCGGGCAAAGCAGCTTCAGCCTCTAGAGTATAATTCAGGTTCTTACTGCTTAATGGCTTTACTTCTGGTCGTAGTTTGAGTAGGTAATTGAGATTTGACGTGTAGTTAATATAGGGTAAATCATAATTGACTTGCTTGCAGGGACATTCACTCTGTCCAATCTGGGCATGTTTGGAGTGGACAGGTTTGATGCCATTCTTCCCCCAGGACAGGTGAGTGTTGTGGATGAACTTTCGGCATCCCCTGATGGGTTTGATTTCTCTACAGTTGCTAATTTTTGTTGGAATGATGATTAGGGAGCTATCATGGCTGTTGGAGCATCAAAGCCAACTGTTGTAGCTGATGCTGATGGATTCTTCAGTGTGAAAAACAAAATGCTGGTGAGTCCAGTTTCTTTTTCAGTGCCAAATGCAATCCCTTTTGGATAAAATTATCTTCTGAACTTTAGGAAAATATATAAAATAGGACAACTGATTTCACATCTATCGCGAAAGACATACTATTATTTAGTGTTAATACTTTTAAAGTTATTGTGTTGTGGCAGAATTTGCATATTTCATTCATAATTTTAGTCCATGCAAATATAACAGTAAAAAAAATGTAAGGATCCGAGTCTATCTCAGCAAAGTACATTTTAGGTACTACTACTCCAATTTTGTGGAGTAATCATCATGCTGTGTTGAAGAGTTCACCTGTTATTACTCTTCATAATTTATAAGTTTTAGCTCTATAATTGATTTAGAAACCTTTGAGGATGATACAGGATACAAATCACAAGAAAATGAAATCAATGGACTAAAAGGGAATTAGTAGGAGGAAAAGATTCTTACCAACAATGGCTCCCTCCCAAACTAGATAATTTTCATTCCATCTTCTCGCATTTTCTTCATTGGTTTTAGCCCTTTCAAATTTCCAAGTTCACTTTCTTCCTTATGAAAAACAATGGCCAGCTCTAGGCATGCAGCCTTCAACACATTGTTAGTTATGATTGATTGCTATCTTGACCTCATACTTCTTTGCTGTTAAGTTAAATTAACTTGTTAGAAAATTCATGTAGTCTTGAAATCTGCCACTGAAAAAAAAGTAAGGGCCCATTAAATTTTGGAAAATGTGTTCCGTTTTCCATCTCAACTTTTACCCTAAATATGATCAATAAAATGAGGTAAATAACCAATTGGAAAACAAGGTTTCCAAACTTAGCTAAAAAGTTAAAAAACAACTTAAAATACTTGTCCATTTTTCTATCAAATTGGAAAGCAGGAGTTTGCAAATTTAATTGTTTACTTTATTTCATTGATCATATATGGAGGAAATATTTTGCCAAAGCTGAATGGGCTCTAATATTTCTTGCTGGCGTTGAATACTTTTATTTTTCCAAATAAATTATCTGTTACATGAGAGTGGTTAGAACTCTTCTTTGTCACCATAATCATATTACTGTTAAAGGTATGTGCTACAAATGTTATCATGAAGTTTGGAAGAATATTAATCAGAAATAATTAGTTTAATTGTTACATTAGGTCCTTCTGTATACTGGTGAATATTGTTTGCCTTTCATTTTTAATATTTAATATAGAGGAGTCCTTTCTAAACTTTTGTCATAGCTAAATATTTCTAAAGAACAACTTAAACTTGGTTGGAATGTGATTCTTCTATTTCAGGTGAATGTAACTGCTGATCACCGTATTGTCTATGGTGCTGATTTGGCTGCCTTCCTTCAGACCTTCTCAAAGATTGTTGAGAACCCAGAAAGCCTGACTTTGTAGATGATGCTGAGATGTTTATGCAATGAAGTCACACTGAGTATTCTAATTTGGCCACTAAGAAGAGATAATTTTCTCTCTATTTAAACAGATTGCCTAGCTAAGGTGCTGTTTTTTTCTTTTTTGTAGCAGTCCATTGTGTTTGTATTCCATTTTGTTTTCTTTTTAAGGATTTCAGGTACCATTTCAGATACAGTTGAGTTAGATTTTGAAAGAAAGGAATAACAACTTGGAAGTTTTTGACAGAATGAAATGAAAATTGTTTTGGTAAGAGCTGTGGTTTCAAACTTTATTTTAAGTGTTACTAGATTTGGCAATGAACATGAGTATTTAGCCCCCCATTATAGATTCTCAGGTAAAGATGACAACGTGTAAAAACTTAAATTTAACTTTTGGAAAAATGAAAAGTTTGTAGAGCCTAGAGGTATAGAAATGTGTATCATAGATCTTGATTAACTATTTCACAACAAGGAAGAAGATATCGTAATGGATCTGATTCGGAATTAGATATTGTATGATCTTCTGTTTCAGAACTAGGAAGAAGAATTTGAACAAAAACAGAAAAATGAAGAACAAGAACATATGATTCCAAAGAAACACAAATGAGTATAATGAAACATTGTTGTATAGATTTTCTTGTTTGCGGTCAGCTGTTCATAACCAGTCATATTTGGAGTCAGTTGTTTGTCTACAAATAACCTGAGCTTCTTTCTTCCATGAATAATTAAAAATATTGGTTACAACTTCTGCTCTTGATCTCAAGAATATACTCCAACAATCGCAGCAAAACTGATATAATGTGACTACTTCAATAGAAATAAGCAGAATGAACACTGAAAAAGAAGGATGGTGTCATTGACTGTTGCAGTAAAATGTTAAGATGCTTCCAGGCAGGTGCAAAGAATTCAACTTTGGCAACGGGCAACTGGCTAGAACAATGAGATGCATGAAGGATTTTGTTGCTGCTTGAATAGAAGATTCTGTGCATTTTTCTCTGACACTCTCTTAACTGATATGATTCACCAGTCCAAGGTGATGTTCCTAGAAATATAAAGCTTGTCAATGTACTCTATTACAGGCCGTGAAGCTTTGATATACCTTCTCATTTTCTTCTCTGCTGTATGATCTGCAACAAATGTTGATTAATACATATAAAGAATCTTTCAAAAAAAAAAAAACATATAAAGAAAAGGATCATGTCAGCTGAATCTTAGATTTCTCATTTTCTTCTGTGCGATTAGAACATGATATTTTCTGAATGACTTAAAATCTGTCATAGGAAGTGCATCATATCTTGTCGAAGATTAATTCTCAGCCTCTGGGAACCTTTGATGTAAATCATAGTTTAAGCTTCCAACCCAGATATTATTGATGGCTTTAGCCCCTTACCAGTTAGAAGAGGAAAAAGTGAGATAGGGTGCGTGCACAGCAAAGTTTTCATAGATGCCAATTCAAGGAAAACAAAAGCTTGAGAAAGCATAAGCAGGTTAAACACTTTCCCCTTTGTCTGGTTAAATAGTTATATGCTGTCATTATAATTTATGTATAGATAATGTAGGCAGGTGTTAATTAGTATCCATCAGCTATCTTGCTGTCTCCTGAATCAGACAAAAATGCAGGCATTGATCAAGATTCAAGACAAAATGTTATGAGGAGAGCACAGCTGCTCCTTACTTCTGAAATACATTGTTTCTTCAAAGTTGCAGAATTTCGTAAAACATCTATCCATTGGACTATATTAGCTAGCCAAGAACTTCATGCATAAATTTCATTCAAATTCACCTGTCTCATTGAGCTTCAGCAAAAGCTGTTCCCTTGTTGGAAGAGTATACATTCCAGCAGAAACAGCAGTCCTGATAGCCCATGTGTGGTATGGGGCACACACTTGAGCATAAGCTGTTGAAGCTGCTTCCCTTAAAGAGTAAACCCTAGAATTCAGAAAGAAAAACCGAAGCATCAGATGACAGGATTACAAGGAGAATTACTTGCTTGTAACAAAAGGACATGTAGCTCTCCCAGGAGAAGACCTAACCTAAAGAGGCAAACAGAAAACAGACTTTTCTTTTCGACTACATTGATCAGGTTATAACCAATGCTACAAACAGTTGCATCACAGCAAGAACATGAAATTGCAATGAAAGAAAAACAGTCATAGATAGATCATCCATGGTGCATAAAAATCAGTCACTGATGTCTAAGAACTGCATGTTATTATATACTAAACCAGAGCAAGCAACAAGCATTGCAAGACTCAATAGTCTAAACTCTCTGCCTCTAGTTTCTTTTCCTCGGTTTCAGGTGTTATTCTGTCAGAGAAAGTACCAGGAATCATTTTGCATCTTTGGAATTTCAGTGCATGAAAAAGGGAAAAAAAATGCAAAAACATACTCAGATGACAGAAATTCCTCAAATAAAGCCCGGATGAGGTCAAGACCCTGTCTAACTCGACGCAGATTACGCGAATGGCTTCCTGGTTTTTTCACTGTGTCATGTGCAACATCTAGATCAAGTACGTTTTCTAAAGTGGCAAATCTCTTCGATGCCTCCACAAGATCATGTACCTGAAAACATTAAACCGTTCATCAGATCAAGGTAATGGGTATTCATAAAGAAAGCAAAAGTACAAAGTAGATGAGATTTGGAAGAGCATCAGGTCATGCAAATAACAGAAGAACACCCTGACTTTGATCAAAGGGTGGGGTGCAAATGAAACCCAAGATGAACATCGAATTCATTGATGCAAATCCCAGGAAACTAGACCTTGACCAAGTGGAAGAAGTTCCTCGTTATGTAACATGTAAGGTTTGCATTGATTGGCTTGACAAAGTGGAAGAAGTTCCTCATTATGTAACATGTAAGGTTTGGATTGATTGGCACCAATCACAGGTTCAATGGATTCCAAAAGCAGTTTTCAAAATGCTATCAATGTTCACAGTCCAACGTACAAGGAATCAAGATTAAAGAATAAAAAAAAAAAGGCAATGAACCTTGGCGACGTACTCCATCTCGGCAAACTTGAAAGCGAGGCCGAGGCAGCTGAAAAGAACAGAAACTAAAGAACATGCGTCACAGAATTTATCCAACCGAAGCTCTTCATCCTTCATCTGACACTCCAAGAACTCCGACAGCTCCTCAAACGCCTCCACTATAGCCGACAAAGGCGTTTTCGTTGTCATTGCCATCTTCGTTCGAGAATCATCAAAATCATTGTCTGCTTCATCCATGGCTATATATGATTTTTTTTGGTTTTACAATTTCATGTTCTAATGATTAACCACTCACTCTGGGAATCATCATAAGATCAAGAAAAGATAGAGAAAGACGTCAAAGGTTAATTTGGGCTAGAGCTTTTACGTGTTGGGATTGATTCATATCTCTTCCTGTTGTGGAAAAACATGTCAACTTGACAAGTGTGTGGGAATATGTTAGAGGTCATACTAGAAACACGGTCCGCCTAAGCAAAGAACTTGGGGCATTGGGTTAGGAAAAAGCTTCACAGACATATGGTCCTCGATTCCATGTCGTTTCCCTTTTCGGTCGTTACTCGTTGCTTTCTTGCTTTTCGATGAGATGGAAGGAAAATTTTGGGTCACAATTAATTTTGGCCTAAAATGCAAGTAGACTACCTGAAGTAATTATCATCATTATTGTTTAATTGAATTAGTTGGGAACTTGGGATGGACAATTGCCCTTCTGTCATCAATTTTCAATAACTAATACCAGCCAAATTTGAAAATCAAGACACCCCACTTTCCCTTCTAGTTTAAGACAAAAAAGAAAGAAGACATTGATCGTTTAGTATTAAGGAATATTCTTCTCTCTTGCTTTTGCTTTATTTGCTTGGTAAACCAAAATTAATAGAAAAAAGAAAACAGAGTAGTTTCGAAATTCTTTATGATTCATCTATCAGAAAATGTAATTCTTGTAGTTGTTTTTTTTTATTATTATTATTATTTAGTATTTTACATGCTTACGATTCAGATTAAAATCTCCTAAACTTGCTCTACAAGATGTATCACTAACTAGCTAGGTAGACCCTGGAAATGCAGACTAAACCTTGCTTGCAAGCTCTACTCCATCTTTTTCAGGTTCGCTGTCTTCGCTATAGATTTGAATCGGCTTGAAAGTATAGAGCTTGGCGCAACAGATGTAGTAAAGAAGATTAACAACCTGCAATCCGGTGAGCAACCAGTAAAAATACTCCAACTTTCCCTTGTTTAAGTTATTATCCGGAAGCCAATTCGATCCATCAGGTCCAGCACTGAATTTGTGCACTAAAGAAACCAGCAGCGTGCTCACGTAGTTCCCGACTGAAATTGAAGTCCAAAACAGTGCAGTAGCAGTGCTCCTCATGCTTTCAGGTGACTGATCATAAAAGAATTCCAAGTGTCCGATCGACATGAAAGCTTCAGCTATTCCATGGAGGGCGTACTGCGGCACGAGCCAGAAAACTGGTATGGGGATGATACCGTGAGCCTTGTCTTGAAGCCCGTGAGCGAAAGCTGCGTTTTTACGCTTTATTTCGATGAAGCCTGCTACAAGAGTGGCTAACACTGATATCACGAATCCGATTCCCATCCGGTGCAAGAACGTGATACCCCGGTCGAGCCCCGTGAATCTGCGGGCAATGCGGACTAGAACCCGGTCGTAAAGGGCTATGGTGGAGAGCATGAAGACCATGGTGAAGACAGACATGGAACCAGCAGGGATTTCGAAGGATTTTGTCAGGTGCCTGTCCATTGTTTTGGCTTGTTGCAGGGAGAATGTGCTCTGCTGAGCATAAGCTGTGATGAGGAGGATTCCTGATGCCCATATTGGTCCCATTCGGATCACAGATTTCAGTTCCTCGACTCGATGCACAGTGTTTAGTCTCCATAGATTAGGCGCTTGAGAGGATTTCACATCATCTTCCTGAGTCACAGTGGCTGCCTTGTCAAGAAATCTGCAATTCACCCATATACATTCCAAAAATCCACATCATTACTTTCAAGCTAAAACCATGTTCTTGCAACCAAATTTAAGCTTTAATAACATACTGTTTGTTTTTGGTATCAATCAATGTTTGTTCTAATACATATGCAAACAAAAGACAATTCAACTTTTTCAACTTATTTCAGCATTATCAGAGGGCAGATATTCATAATTTCCATGGCTTTCCTTCCCCAGGCCAAGCCTGCCAGGGGCCAGCTAAGGAGCAGATAATCCCACAAATTGCACTCAGTGTCTGCTGGAATCTGCATGTATATTAGTTTC